GGAGTTTATTTGTATATTCAATCTGGAAAGCACAAGAACAACAGATTAGGTTAGGAATAGTTCATATCTGTGCCATGATGTTCATGATACAAGTGAGAGGCCAGGCTAAAGAAATAAAATCTTGAAATTACATTTTAGTAGCTTTTGAACAACAGAAAATGACATTTCACTGTTACTGTACATTGACATATTTCTCTGCTCTTGAATAACAGGCAGATGCACAGCATTTTAGTGCTGGCTGCAAAGTAGTCTGGAGTCCTCTGTCAAGCAGATATAAACCTCAGTGTACCATAATTCCCATTTTAAGGTGATGGTTTCAAACCTGAATATTTATACGAGCCTGATTTCTTAGGGATGAACAAAAAGCTACCCTTGGCCACCATTTTCAGCTTACAGTCTTCAAACACCCCCTGAAATATTTCATTGTTGGAAATTAAATTGTATCACTGTAATAAACTATGTACTTCATCTGCATTTTTCACTTATTTCTTATCTGATAAATTCCTTTCATGAACATATTTCTAAAAATGCTTGGAATTTTTAATTTCTTTTTGATAAATTTTATGTTTATTAAGAGTTTAGTCTTAAATGTAACTAATCGAGATATGCAAAAATTTGTACATGAATGAGATTTTAAATTTTTTTTTAATTAGTGCCAAAGGATATTCAATGGAAATGAGGTTCCTTCCCATTTTCTGATCCCTAGTCCCTTAGGAAAAAACACTGACAGCAGTTTAAGTATTCTTCCCAAGAGCCTATGCATATGTAGGGCTCTCTGTCTTTTAAAAACACAAATGACAAGATATTTGCTGGTTTGCACCTTGCTTTTTGCTTAATATATTTAGTTTATAAAACTGTTACAGTATAAAAAATGTGTGTGTATATATATATATATAAAATCTTAAATGATCTAATGTGTAAATTTTCACATTTGCCCTTAAATATCTAGTTGTTTATTTTTATAATTTTTGTGCGTATTCTATTTGCAGGTATCCGTGTCAATAGACTTTACTATCAATAAAAGCCAGTGTGGACAGAATCATGTTTTCTTATCTTCACTGCTTGGTGTTTTGTTTGTTTTTGTTTGAACGATCTGGAAGTGCTTCAGTTGAAATGTTATGAGTGCACCTTACAGACTGGGTGAAGATCTTGGCAGTTATTGTGTGCTGTTCATTATTTTGTGTCAGTATCAGTGCCCTTTAGACTCTAGCAATTAAGTCTGGACTGCTGAAGCTTCAATTTCTTCTGCTTTTTTAAACTTGCTTCTGGCGAGACTGAACAGACCTTCTGGAAGATTTTCTGGGTGTTCTAATTAAAATGGCAGTAAGGCATGAGGGGTGCAGAGCATTTACTTTTTATGAATTTGCCATAATACTGAATTCCTATGTAGAGAGTGCTTAGTTCGCATAGTACTCCAGAAACTCGGACTTTCTTAGCATCATATATTTTAACATTCATAGAAAAGAAAATTGGGTTTGAGAGATGGATGATAAAGTTCACAAGTACTCTCCCCAAACCTCCAGTTAATCCAAATGCGGATCCAGTCTCATTGTGTTCAGAATATACCTTCCTACATCCTAGCCGGTGAGATGACTCCGCTCAGTCCTCAGTAGCCATCAGTGACACTTGTCACGAAGGTCTGCCTTACCAGAGACCATGTGGCTCCTGAAAACCCGGGGACGGATAAATTAAGTAAATGATTTTGTTTTCCAACTTTTTTGTAATTACTTGATTGCTCCTTTAGGAGGATCTGCCACAGTTTAATTTTGCCAAATGTTATTAAAACCTTTTGTAAAAATGTTGAATACTTAGAGAAGCTGTGAGGATATGAAGGAGGAATATAAAATACCCCCATACAAGTTTTAGTAACACCACAAGTTATAGCACCCTTAATGTGTTAAATAGAATGATATGAAAAATGTAACTTCCAACATAAACATAAAGCATGTTACCAAATTTCCGTAACTTTTATATCACTTTAGACCCAAGCCTTTCCAAGAATTTAGGTCACCATCTTTACCTTTACTGTCCAAAATGTGGTCCTCAAAGTATCAGTATTAGCATCTCTTGAGACCTCAGAAATACTTGGACCCTAGGCAAACAACTCAGTCTGCATTTTAACTGATACTCATGCAAATCAGTTTGAAGAACAATAATTAAGGATGGCCTTTGATGCCCACACGCCATGCTGGAGTACCTGGGTGGGTGGAGGTCCTCACTTCCAGCTTCCTGCTAATGCATGCAGCGGGAGGCAGCACATGATGGCTTACGTACTGGGGTCCCCGGCTCCTGATGCTGGCCTCCACCCCAGGGCTGCTGGGGGCATCTGGAGAATGAGCCAGCAGGTGTTTCTATCAGCCTCTCAATAACAATTACACAACTAATCAACACCATAAAATGACTACCTTTCAGAGGAACTTACCAGATCAGGAAACCTGACAAGTAGAGAACTCAGTGATAGATAAGTTTAAAAAAAAAAACTACAAATTGCACTGAGGTGGCCCTTACTGGAGTACCTGGTCTCGATGTTCCCATTTGGCTTCTGACTCCACTTGCTACTAACGCAGACTGTGGGAGGCAGCTGCGATGGCGCAAGCAATTGCATTGCTACCACCCATGCGGAAGACCTGGATTGGGTTATGGGATCCTGCTTCAACCTGGCGCAGCCCCAGCTGTTGTGGATATTTGAGGAATGAACCAGCAGATGAAACCTCTGCCTCTCAAATAAAAATGAAATTTTAAAAATAAAATAGCTACAAAAGATACACTCATTTTTAGTTATTTAGGAATACTAGCAGATTAATAAATTTTATTACAGCAATATCATCATTCATTTAAAATACTTGGCAGTAAGTATATCCAATCATAAATACACTCTTTGATCCATTAACCCCTCCTGGAATTCTGTCCAAATGTATTAATCTACAAACTCCAACTCCATTAGAGCCTTCCTGCCACCACTGAATCACAGATGAAATTTTTAAGAATTCTATAAAGAACAAAAGGTCTGGGGCCGGCACTGTGGCTCAGCGGGTAAAGCCACCGCCTACAGTGCCAGCATCCCATATAGGCACCGGTTTGAGTCCTGGCTGTTCCACTTCCAATCCAGCTCTCTGCTGTGGCCTGGGAAAGCAGTACAAGATGGCCCAAGTCCTTGGGCCCCTGCACCCACATGGAAGGCCCAGAAGAAGCTCTTGGATGCTGGCTTCGGTTCAGCACAGCTCTGGCTGTAATGGCCATCTGGGGAGTGAACCAGCAGATGGAAGACCTTTCTCTGTCTCTGCCTCTCCTCTCTCTGTGTACCTCTTTCAAGTAAAATAAAATGAAAAAAAAAATTAAAAAAAGGTTTGAGCCAGTGGTCACCTGCCTTCTTCAGCATTACCCATGGCTACAATTTCCGCTGCCCCTTTGCACCCTGACAATAATGAATCGCATGGGCTTTTTCAACATAGTGTACCATTTCACTCTAACCTGTATTTGTTCAAGCTGTCCCTCTTGACTGCATTCTCTTTCCATAGAAAACCTTCCCTAAATATCTATCCCGTGTTTATCCTTAGCATGGTTACTTCAAAACATTATTGTAATCACCCAATTTCTGTCCTGTCCCCACAACTCTGCACCAGCAGAGAAGAAAGCCAACAATGAATAAAGCGCCATACAGTATTGGGTGGCCTTTAAAGGCTGTCTACTAACTTGTTCTCTCCACTTCCAACTGTTGACCACCCCTCTGAAGCTTTCCATGTCTCGGCTTCTAACTGCTGGAGGCATTTCCCAAGGCTTAACCTACTGTTTTTCCAGGATGAATCAATACTACAGGTGATCCATTACAAATCATTTCTAAATTAGGAAACCAAGTCATCCAGGGAGACAGTAAGATTTGTAGCGTGAGCAACCTATAAAAGAAAGGCAAACTCTTGGGTCAGGTGTTGTGGTACACCAAATTAAGCCATCCTTTGGATTGCTGGCATCCATATTGGTGTGCCTGAGATCAAGCCCTGCTCTGCCTTTAGATCCTCCTGCTAATGTGCCTGGGAGGCAGATGATGGCCCAAGCAGTTGGGTGGCAGGAACCCAGTGGAGAATGACAAGAGTTACTGGCTCCCAGCTTCAGCCTACCCCAGCCCTCTTAAGGATTTATTTGAAAGAGTGACAGAGGAAGAGACAAAGAGATTGTCCATTCACTGGTTTACTCCCCAAACAGCCCCAACAGCAGGAGCTAAGCCAGGCAGAAGCAGGAGCCCAGAACTCCATCTGGGTCTCCTACATGGGAGTCAGGGGCTCAAGTACTTGGGCCATCATCCATTTCTTTCCCAGGCACATCAGCAGGGAGCTGGATCAGAAGTGGAGCAGCTGGGACTTGAGTTGCCACTCCAACCTGCTGTACCACGATGCCACCGCTAATCTGGGGCAGTATTTTAATATTTGCTTTTATCATCTTCAAAGTAACATATTCTGAAGAGAAACTGTACATGTGTATACTATATTGAAAATGGATTTATTTTTCTTCAGGATTTCTTCCACAGTTCTTGTAACATTTTGTCAATGTACTGAATTAAGTAGTTAAGTATATAGGTTCTAGGGCAAGACTGGCAGAGTTTGCATTGTTAACTATCATTCGTAGCTATGTGGCCTCAGGCAAACTACTTAATCTGCTTGTTTCCTCACCTATAAAATGCTGAGAATAGTAATACCTAGATACTTATTTATGAGGACTGAAAGTGTTAAATGTTTATGAAGCATCCAGTAAGTACCTGATATAAATTAATGGTGTATTATTTTAAGGACTAAACATCTTTACATCACTAATAAAATTATAGGTAAGTCACCTATCAGTATGTTCTTAGAATTGTACCTACAAATCATGCTGAATCTGTTAAAAATAATCAAAAATTGAAACTGAGGTGAGACTACAATTTAGGTGGATCTACAGAACAGAGACAGAGTCAGACCACATCATCCCAAACATGCTTCTGCCTAAAGATAGATGTTCAATCCCAAGGGTTTTTTTTTTAAAGATTTATTTATTTACTTGAAAGTCAGAGTTACACAGAGAAAGAGGTCTTCCATCTGATGGTTCACTTCCCAGTTGGCCACAATGGCCAGAGGTGCGCAGTCTGGAATGGGATAGTTCCTCAGGATTGTCTTCATAGCATTGACATTTTTGAAGCATATCAGTCATTTGCCTTGTGGTTTTCTCAATCTGGGGTGTCTATTTTTATAAAGGGAAATGAGCCTAAGATAATTTCTAGCAGTTAGTCTGAGTCTCCCATGCAAGTGAGGGGCCCAAGGACTTGGGCCATCTTCTACTGCTTTCCCAGGCCACAGCAGAGAGCTGGATCAGAAGTAGAGTAGCCGCGACTAGAACCAGCACCCATATGGGACACTGGCGATTCAGGCCAGGGCGTTAACCTGCTGCACCGCAGCACCAGCCCCTCAATCCCAAGTTTTTAGAGGACATTTTATTTTTTATTTATTTATTTATTTTTTGGACAGGCAGAGTGGACAGTGAGAGAGAGAGACAGAGAGAAAGGTCTTCCTTTTGCCGTTGGTTCACCCTCCAATGGTCGCCGCAGCCGCGCTGATCCGAAGGCAGGAGCCAGGTGCTTCTCCTAGTCTCCCATGGGGTGCAGGGCCCAAGCACTTGGGCCACAGCAGAGAGCTGGCCTGGAAGAGGGGCAACCGGGACAGAATCCCGTGCCCCGACCGGGACTAGAACTCGGTGTGCCGGCGCCGCAAGGCGGAGGATTAGCCTGTTGAGCCATGGTGTTGGCTAGAGGACATTTTAAAACTAACCAATGGCAGAGATACCTAGATTAACATTTCCCAACTATAATGAAACTAAGGGGAAAATTATTTGGTTACTTCCCAAAAATGTTAAGTAAACCAATTTTAATTGATCTTTCTTAATATTTGTTCTTCATTATGGTATTTAAGTTTTTTCTTTATGAACTATAGAACATTTGTTGAACCAGATAAACTGGAAAAGATCATAATGCAGGCAGTTCAAAAAGCTTGCAGAAAATGGAATTAAAAGTTGTCTATTTTGTGAAAATTTTTTTTGAAATCTATGCACTTTTCTCAAAATACACATTTCCATGAAATTTTTGAAGCTTCCTCATATATCTTAAGACGCTCTTTCAGAAAGACAGATCAACTCCACTGACTCACGTTCCACACCTGAGTTGAGATGCAATCTGCAGACTGTGTCATCTTGATGTCCCTGCATGCCTTACACCACACAAAGAGGATCCCTGTCCGTCTCTGACAGGACAATATGAATCCTATTCTCCAAGTGGACACCCAGCATATCACGGAGGTCAGACAGGAAGCCTCGTTCCGTGTTACTGTGTTCACAGAGGATGACGCTGATTCCTCGGGAAGTAGCATCCAGGACATCATGATGGGACATCTCACCTGCCAAAAAATCAAGAACAAAGACCTGAATACTAGGAACCTGTGGAATGCTGAGTCCCAACAGCAGAAATGCCGAGCTTGAATTCTGCACCAAGTATGTGTAATTCAGCAGAACTACTTTACAGAGAGATGTGGGGAGTTGTACACAATTTTCTTACATACCTTCCAATTTCAAAAGAGACACACCACCCCATCAAGAATTCTTGGCAGACCCTAAGAAAGTATCTAATTCTGTGTATCCAGCCCGAACCAGATCTACAAGAACACTCCTCCGAGGTTTCCACAATGAATGACCACTGCTCTGCAAGGTGGCTACAGAAAGCCGCCTTTTTATAGCAGCAGCAAATACCTTAAGAGAACACCTCAGGTATTCTGCCCAGAAAACTTGTGCTTTGTGAGCATCTGTATCTTCAGCACTGACCCCAGTCTAATTGATAAGGGTGAAATGAGTTTTTGACATATAAAATCCCTAGAAAATTCTGAAGTTACTGATGAAAAAGATCTTATGTGAAAGCGTTTAGAGAAAATGCAAAAAAGACACTAAGGTACCCCTTAGGAAAGACAAGCCTGGCTGCTTGTCTCATAAACGCACTGTCTGCAGAGGCAGGGAAGTGGGGAAACCAGTGGAGATCCGGCATCAACAGACGCCAAGGAGAGAAAAGCCCGGCTCAGGACAGAAGCAGATGGAGAGCAACTGAGGACAGGGAGAGCAAACTGGTCCTTAAGGAGCGAGCGCCTCATGTGCTGTTTTCCAGGACTTCACCCTTAACAACCACAGACCCGGGAGCCCAGCCTGAGGCTCCCCGGAGGAGGGAGGAAGGCAGCCCATACCAGGGCTTTCCGTAAGTTAGCCGGGGCCCACATCTGCTATTTCTCCATCTAGCCAGACGGAAATGGCATTTAACATTTTAGAACTGCTAACAATTATCTTAGGCTCATTTCCCTTTATAAAAATAGACACCCCTGTCGCTCCCCCTCTTCGCGGAGGAGCAACACTGAACCCTGCGCTGTTCTTTCGTCTGCTCGGCCCTCCCCGGGTTTGCTGCTGGTTCTTCCCGGGTTGGCTACTATCCCTTCCACCTCCGTGGAAGGGCAGTTCCCCCTGGCCACATTCCCCACTTCCGCGGGGGAGCGGCACACCGCCGGCCGGCTTTCTGGGGGCTGCACAGGCGTTCCTTCAGATGTTCCCCTTAGATGTTCCCTGGTGCATGCCGTCTCTCTCCTCCTTTATAGTCCTCTTCCACCAATCCCAACTCTGCTACCCACACGCCGAGTACGCTGCTCTCCAATCAGGAGCAAGTCCTACAGTTTATTAGCTGAACTGGAGGCAGCTGTGCGGAAGCTGTTTACTTCTCTCCCAGCGCCATATTGTGGGAGAGCAGATGCATAGAATAAGTCTTAATTCCAGTAACTCAGTCTAGTCCGGGCTGCTCCCCACAGATCCCCCTTTCTTTTTATTTTTGGCGTTGATACGCGCCTGTCTTCGGTGTCCCGCGGCACACACTCTGCTCTACTTGCTAGAGTTGCCACAGGCTCTTACAAGTCCTATCAATCAGGCAAACCGAATCCGGGTCCTCTCTTCGCCATGTTGTGAGGAGGTTTTTAGGCGCTGATGCGTGCCTGTGTTCGGTGACCTGCGGCGCATGCTCTGCTCTGCCTGCAGGGGCTTACAAGCCCTAACAATCAGGCAAACCGAATCCAAGCCTTCTCATTGTTGTATTGTGGGGAGGCCTTTCTGATGTTAATTCGTGCCTGTCTTCGGTGACCTGCGGCGCATAAGCTGCTAGCCGCTGCAGGTGCTCATCGCCTCACTTAATCGGGCAGACCGAATCCAAGCCTTCTAATTGCCATGTTGAGGGGAGGCCTTTCTATTTCTCTATTTCTCTATCTCCGGGCATTCCTATTTCTCCCATTTTACTTATGTCTGCCAACATTCCCATTTCTCTCATTTTACTTCTAAACTTTTGTTTCTCTTATCCCTGCGGCTTCCTGGTGCCTCGCCCTGCCGGCAGGCTCCGCCCCGAGGCTATTTCTCGGCGGCTTTCCGGCTGAGCCGCTTCAGCCCGCGTCTCTCTCATCTGCGCGGCTTCCCGGCTTTGCGCGGCTTGGCTTCGCGCGCTCCGTGGTCTCCACGCCCTTCGCGTCTGCACCACGGCCTCGCGCCAGCCCCGCATTCCCTATGTACTTGAGCCCCGCACGCTCTGTCTGCGCGCGGCAGCCTCCACGAGTCACACAGCGTAGCTTACGTGTCCACCACTAGCATTCAATCCAAGTTCCCCGGGCTAGCCTGGCGAATTCAACCCAGCTTACGTCTCCGCCCCACGATTTGGCTTCCCGTCCTTTGCTCCCCGGGCTAATCAGACGGATCCCAATCTGGCTTACATTTCAGCTTCTGGTTTCAACTTTTCGCCCCCTATTCCCGGGCTAACTTGAGAATCCCAAAGTGGCTTTCGTTTCCGCCTTGGCCTGCCCCCCGCGGCTTCAATTTCCCTAACATTTTTCTCTACCCGGTATGTTTCCCCAAGCTTTCCTCCAACAATATTCCTCCCTCATTTCTCCTGGCCTCTCCCCACAGTCCGCATCCGAGTCTGTTTGTTCTAGCTTTCACTTTCACTTTCGACCTTAGAGATTTCTCCCAGCTTCCCCCCGTAGTCCGTATCTGAGTCTATGCCTAGGCTTTCAATAGCTTCTTCCGGCACCTTTTTCGTCCGGCTTTTCCCTAGGCTGTTTGCTAGTCTCTCTCTCCGATATTTTCCCAGTTCTTCCCGTTTCTTCCCTCCTAAGTTTGCTATCTGTCCTAGGTTTCCTATCCGAGTCACGGCACCATTATGTCGCTCCCCCTCTTCGCGGAGGAGCAACACTGAACCCTGCGCTGTTCTTTCGTCTGCTTGGCCCTCCCCGGGTTTGCTGCTGGTTCTTCCCGGGTTGGCTACTATCCCTTCCACCTCTGTGGAAGGGCAGTTCCCCCTGGCCACATTCCCCACTTCCGCAGGGGAGCGGCACACCGCCGGCCGGCTTTCTGGGGGCTGCACAGGCGTTCCTTCAGATGTTCCCCATAGATGTTCCCTGGTGCATGCCGTCTCTCTCCTCCTTTATAGTCCTCCTCCGCCAATCCTAACTCGGCTGCCCACACGCCGAGTACGCTGCTCTCCTCCAATCAGGAGCAAGTCCTACAGTTTATTAGCTGAACTGGAGGCAGCTGTGCGGAAGCTGTTTACTTCTCTCCCAGCGCCATATTGTGGGAGAGCAGATGCATAGAATAAGTCTTAATTCCAGTAACTCAGTCTAGTCCGGGCTGCTCCCCACACACCCCAAATTGAGAAAACCACAAGGCAAATGGCTGATATGCTTCAAAAATGTCAATGCTATGAAGACAATCCTGAGGAACTATCCCATTCCAGACCGCAGACACTAGAGACAAACAACCAAATGCGGAGTGTGATTAAGATTGGATGTGGATCAGAAGGAAATGCTGTTAACTCCTGATCCATTGAATATCAAGTAAGTGCTCAATAGTACTAAACTTCCAAATCTGACCACTGTTCTGTGACCATGTAAGACAACGTGTCATTCTCACGAGATCACATAATATGTGGAAGCATAAAGGGTCGTATCTGCAACTTATTCTCAAATGGTTCCAGGGAACACAAATATATATATTATACATACCGCATGTATTTTAATGTATATGTTACATATGTATATGAGTATGTACACATATACACGCACAATGTACCAATGTGGCACAATAAAGCCATCAGTAACTTAAGTAAGCTACTCTTGGAGATTTTCTAGCAGTCTAAAATTCTAAGTAAAATATTAAAATTGATTTAAAAATAGTTACACACCAAGCTGGAAGATACTCAAACTGCCTATATATTGAAAGTTTACTTCAATCTGGTACAAATTTGAAGGCTTATACAAATCTCCTATCTTCAAAAGAACAGAAAACAGGGAAGCTTACGTATCCTTTCAGTGTATCGGTCCAGAGCAATTACATGAGGCTTGCTCAGATGGCACAGCTCAGTACTCTGAAGCAGCCTCAGTAAGAGGATGTGCTAGAAAGTAAGGCATGGGGGTGTGAGGCCGGGGGAGCATGGAAGTGGCCAAGGGAACAGCCAGCGAGTCAAGGCTGTAGAGGCTGGTCCTGGAAGTCGGAAAAGTAAATTTTTTTTTTTTTTAATTCAAGAGGTAGAGAGAGCAAGTTCCCATCCACTCTTCCAAATTCCTGCAATGGCTAGGGCTAGGCTGGGCTGAAGCTAGGAACTCAATCTAGGTCTCCCAGCAGTGGCAGGGACCCAACTACTTGAGTCATCACCACTGCCTCTTCCCAAGGTCCACATCAGCAGGACGCTGGAATAAGGAGCAGAGCTGTGCATCAAACCCAGGAACTCCAATATGGAATACAGGTCTTAGCAGGTCTGAATCTAGGCTAAATGCCCACCCGAGCATAACTTTTTTTTATAGAAAGCTTTTATTTAATAAACACAAATTTCATAAGTATAACTTTTGGATTATAGCGGTTCTTCCCCTTACACTGCCCTTCTACCCCCAAACCATCCCACCTCCTACTCCCTCTCCCATCACATTCTTCATTAAGATTTTAATTATCTTTATATACAGAAGATCAACTCTATACTAAGTAAAGATTTCAACAGTTTGCACCCACACAGACACACAAAGTATAACGTTCTGTTTGAAGCTAATTTTACCGTTAATTCTCATAGTACAACAGATTAAGGACAGAGGTCCTACATGGGGAGCAAGTGCACAGGGACTCCTGTGGTTGATTTAACTGACACTCTTATTTATTTATGATGTCATTGATCACCCAAGGCTCTTGTCATGAGCTGCCAAGGCCATGGAAACCTCTTGAGTCCATAAACTCTGACATTATTTAGACAAGGCCATAATCAAAGTAGAAGTTCTCTCCTCCCTTCAGAGAAAGGTACCTCCTTCTTTGATGGCCCCTTCTTTCCACCGGGATCTCACTCACAGAGATCTTGCATGTAGGCCATTTTTTGCCACAGTGTCTTGGCTTTCCATGCCTGAAATGCTCTCATGGGCCTTTTAGCCAGATCTGAATGCCTTAAGAGCTGATTCTGAGCCAGAGTGCTGTTTAGGGCACTTGTCATTCTATGAGTCTGCTGTGTGTCCTGCTTCCCATGTTGGATCATTCTCTCCTTTTTAATTCTATAAATTATTATTAGCAGACACTTGGTCTTATTTATGTGATCCCTTTGATATTAATCCTTATCTTTATGATCAATTATGAATTAAACTGATCACTTTAAGTAGTAAGATGGCTTTGGTACCTGCAAACTTAATGGGATATGGAGTCCCATGGCAAAAGTACATAACTTTTTGAGGTAATCTAATAATAAATTGTTAAATGGTTTCCTCTCTCCACAGTGAATACAATGTGTCCTCAATTCTGGTCTACTTCCTATCAGTTAAGGTTAAGAAGGTATTAAGATACTATCTGGGGCTGGCACTGTGGCGCAGCGGGTTAACGCCCTGGCCTGAAGCGCTGGCATCTCATATGGGTGCCGGTTCTAGTCCCGGCTGCTCCTCTTCCGATCCAGCTCTCTGCTATGGCCTGGGATAGCAGTGTAAGATGGTCCAAATCCTTGGGCCCCTGTGCCTGCATGGGAGACCCAGAGGAAGCTCCTGGCTCCTGGCTTCAGATTGGCGCAGCTTCAGCCGTTGTGGCCATCTGGGGAGTGAACCATTGGATGGAAGACCTTTCTCTCTCTACCTCTCTCTGTAACTCTGTCTTTCAAATAAATTAAAAAATATATACTATCTACGTGCTAGGCACTATCCTAACATCTGCTATTTTTGAATTTCTAAAAAACAAGCCAGCATTGAGAAAGAAAAGACCCAAAAGCTGCCCTACCTGTGAGGTAAAGGTCGGCTTCGACACCCCGCAGGACGCTGCTCCCAGAACCAGCACACAGGGCCACAACTTCAACACGTGACTCTTGAAGACAAAGGAAACGAGAGCAGTGCTTGCAATTCCCTTCCATTGTACTATTGTAACTTGTACCAAGAATCCTGAATACACATCTCACTCTGGGTGCCATCACCAGTGCAACAAACTATGCTCATTTAATTAGAAACACCACCACCACCAGGTTTCTGGTTTTTTTTTTTTGTTTTGTTTTTTAAGATTTTATTTATTTGACAGATAGAGTTACAGACAGTGAGAGAGAGAGAAACAGAGAGAAAGGTCTTCCCCCCAAATGGCTGCAACGGCCGGAGCTGCGCCGATCCAAAGCCAGGAGCCAGGAGCGTCCTCCTGGTCTCCCATGCGGGTGCAGGGCCCAAGGACCTGGGTCATCTTCCACTGCCCTCCTGGGCCACAGCAGAGAGCTGGACGGGAAGAGGAGCAGCCGGGACTAGAACCGGAGCCCATAGGGCATGCCGGCGCAGCAGGTGGAGGATTAACCTACTGAGCCACCACGCCGGCCCCAACCACCAGGTTTTAATATAGGCCAACAGAACATTCTTTGGCACTATACAGCTAATCCAGGACAGGCAGATTATTCCTTTGGATGTGGCTGCACAAACCCATGAGCCACTGAAGAGTGCTCATACTGCGGTGCAACTCTAGGCTGCCACAATGCTGCTGGGTAAACAAAGATCCTCCAGGTCTTTAGACAACAGTGGGACACAGGCAGGTGATCCTCGACTCTATGTTCTCAGCAGCAGGTAAGGGTTATGAATTGGGCATACTTGTTTAAATGAAATGGGCATATTTTCCTCAAAGAGCCTCCTCTGAAGAGTGAAATAATAAACTTTGGAGCCAAAATCCTAATATTAAGCACTTAGGTTTCTTTTCTTTTTTGTTAAGATTTACTTATTTATTTGAAAGGCAGAGTTATAGAGGCAGAGAGAGACTGCTCTTCTATCCGCTGGTTTACTCCCCAAACGGCCACAAAGGCCAGAGCTGGACTGATCTGAAGTCAGGAATCAAGAGCTTCTTCCTGGTCTCCCATGCTACTGCAGGGGCCCAAGGACTTGGGCCATCTTCTACTGCTTTCCCAGGCCATAGTAGGGAGCTGGATTAGAAGTGGAGCAGCTGGGACTCAAACTGGTGCCCATATGGGATGCTGGCACTCCAGGTGAAGCTCTACCCTCTATATGCCACAGAGCCAGCCCCGTACTTAAGTTTCTGAAATTAATATATTATTATCAGTCACTCCTGTTTGGCAGCATAGGGTGTTTGGGGTTGGATCAAAGTAAAATCCCACATCTGCCATCCATTTTCTTTGGAAACTAGCTACCATAAATTGCTTGTTTTTTAAGCTTTATTTATTTATTTGAAAGGCAGAGTTAGAGAGAGAGAGAGAGACAGACAGAGAGACAGAGATCCATCCACTGGTTCATTCCCCAAGTGGACACAATGGCCAGGGCTGGTCCAGGCCAAAGCCAGGAGCCTGGAACTCCATCTGATCTCCCCTGTGGGTGGCAGACCCAAGCACTTGGGCCATTTTCTACTGCTTTCCCAGGAGCATTGGCAGTGGCTGGATCCCAAACAGAGCAGCCAGGACTCAAACTTGTGCCCATATGAGATGCTACAATTGCAGGCAGCCTAACGCACTGCACCATAGCGCAAGCCCCTGCAGCGAGTCATTTGATCTAACCATGGACTCTGAACAAGTTTATGTCTCTGAACCTCAATTTCTCACCTTTGTAAGTAGGAATAATAACAATCACATAGCTAACAACAGCTAGCATTTGCTGTCAGCCCTGTGCCAAGTCATTTTTTTAACTAACACCTCTTGATGTAAGTTTTACTACTGATGCAGCTTTAAATTTTTTTTTTTTTATTTATTTGCTAAGCACAAAGAGAAAGAGATAAATTACCAGGGCCAGCACTGTGACACAGTGGGTAAAGCCACTGCCTGCAGTGCTGGCATCCCATATGGGCACTGGTTCGAGACCCGGCTGCTCCACTTCCCATCTATATCTCTGCTATGGCCTGGGAAAGCAGTAGAAGATGGCCCGAGTGCTTGGGCCCCTGTACCCTCAAAGGAGACTTGAAAGAAGCTCCTGGCTCCTGGCTTCGGATTGGCATTGTAGCCATTTGGGGAGTAAACCAGAGAATGGAAGACCTCTCTTGTCGCTCCCCCTCTTCGTGGAGGAACGACACAGGACCCTGCGCTGTTCTTTCGTCTGCTCGGCCCTCCCCGGGTTTGCTGCTGGTTCTTCCCGGGTTGGCTACTGTCCCTTCCACCTCCGTGGAAGGGCAGTTCCCCCTGGCCACATTCCCCACTTCCGCAGGGGAGCGGCACACCGCCGGCCGGCTCTCTGGGGGCTGCACAGGTGTTCCTCAGGTAGATGTTCCCCTTAGATGTTCCCCATAGATGTTCCTGGTGCATGCCGTCTCTCTCCTCCTTTATAGTCCTCCTCCGCCAATCCTAACTCGGCTGCCCACACGCCGAGTACGCTGCTCTCCTCCAATCAGTAGCAAGTCCTACAGCTTATTGGTTGAACTGGAGGCAGCTGTGCGGAAGCTGTTTACTTCTCTCCCAGCGCCATGTTGTGGGAGAGCAGATGCATAGAATAAGTCTTAATTCCAGCAACTCAGTCCAGTCCGGATTGCTCCCCACACACTCTCTCTCTCTCTCTCTCTCTCTCTCTCTCTGCCTCTCCTTCTCTGTGTAACTCTTTCAAATAAATAAATAAATCTTTTTTTAAAAAAAAGAGAGAGAGAGAAATTACCAACCTGCTGGTTCACGTCCCAAATGTCCATAATGGCCCAAGCTGGGCTGAAATCAAGGCAGAAGCTGGAGATCCAGGTCTCCACACGGGTGGCTGCAACGCTGTGACCTGAGCCAGCACTGCTGCATTAGCAGGGAGCTGGAGGCGGGACTAGAGCCGGGCACCTGCCCCTGCACTCTGATAGCAGCGGCAGGCATCTTAACTGCCACGTCTGCTTGCCCACTGCATGAAGGCAACTGTTGATGTGCAGCTACTAGGACACAGAAGGGAGAAATAGCGTGTCAGAGGACTAAGCCTGCCCTGTGAGGTTCCAGCATCCCCATGAGAGTGCTGGTTTGAGTCCTGGGGCATGCTGCAATTCTGCCCATAAGCAGTGTCTCAACCATTAGGTTAAATGCTTCTCCTTCTTGCCTGGAATTTTTAGCTGATGGTTTAAGAACCTCTAAAACTCTTTCTCCCTGCAACACTGACCAGTCTACAAGGAACAGACTTCCCCGATGACCTGAAATGAACGCCTAGTATAACTGACAAAGAAACCTATCGTTTAAGCCAACTAGATGTGTTCCACCGGGGAACCTGATCCCTCCTAAGGGCGAAAGTAAACCAGTCATCTCCCAGGGGCTCCAACATCTTCTCGCTCACGTCGATAATTAAACCAGGAGGGGCAGGCATTGCAGCAGTGGGTCAAGCTCTTTTGACGCAGCATCCCACATGGGAGATCTGGATGGAGCTCCAGGGTCCTGGGTTCAGCATGAACCAGCCCTAGGTGTCCCTAGGTGTTACAGCCATCTGGGGAGTGAACAAGAGGATGAAGATCTCTCCCTGTGTCACTTGGCCTTTCAAATAAAAAAAAATCTTTTAGAAAAAAAGATAAAAACAAAACAAATGTTGCACTTTTCCCCAATGTTACCATGAGGTGTATTAGAGAAATAAAGGCGCTCTATTTACCTAAGGTCCTTTCTACCCCAAGAGCTAAGCGAATATGAGTTAGTTTGAGGTGTCTTTTGATTCGCTCAATCATGGTTGCCAAGGAGACAGATTCATCCAGGGTGCATAATCGTCCCATTCCAGTATGTAGAAGCAAAGGCTGAAGAGAAACAGAAGTTAGAAACACTGTCAATTAACACTAAAAAAAAATTACAGGACAAACAGACAATGCTGAAACCAATAAAGCATGTACTCTGTGAGCTTGCTAAAGTAAACTCCACACTAAAGGCTGACAAAGTAGACAAAAACATTCTGACTTCCAGGGGCTCACAGACTCACAGGAGGGCAGATGTTTAAATAATCATACTGAGAGTATACAAGACAGGTGCTATTATTACGGGAACGCAAAGGAATGACCAAATGAGTTGTGGAAGTGCAATCAAAGATCTTAAAAATCAAAAAAAAGGGGGCCAGTATTGTGGCATAGCAGGTAAAGCCACAGCTTGCAGTGCTGGCATCTCACATGGGTGCCGGTTCAAGTCCTGGCTGCTCCACTTCTGATCCAGTTCTCTGCTATGGCCTGGGAAAGCAGTAGAAGATGGCCCAAGTCCTTGGGCCCCTGCACCTGCGTGGGAGACCCATCCTGGCTTTGGATCGGGGCAGGTCTAGCCATTTCAGCCATCTGGGGAGTGAACCAGCATATGAAAGACCTCTCTCTCTGCCTCTGCCTCTCTGCAACTCTGCCTTTCAAATAAATAAATGAGTCTTTAAAAAAAAAATCAAAAACAAATTCAGAAGGGGGAACCCTGAAGTGCAGGGTGGCCGGACGGGGATAGGATGGCTATGTGGAAAGGTGTTCTCAAAAGCGAGAAAATGTACAAAGGTGGCAGGGGCATGAGAGCACACATCGTAAGGGCAGATCTGAAAGTGTACAAAATGGCTGATTGCAGAGCACATGATGGGGAAGGAGGTGAGGCTGAGGCCAGGCTTCAGGATCAGTTAACAGCCTAGGCTGCCCACACAGGGGCCCTGTAAGGACACCACTAATACACCAGTGATTCTCAGTGAGGGAAGGGCAGAGTTTCAGTGACTCCGAGGGCAGAGCCAACGGGGAGGAGGGACATTTTACACTCGTGAAGCAAGAGAGGAATTGTGGAAACTTGGGAAAATAAGGAAGGCAATGATACCACCAATGGCATAGGGAAAAAAAACCACAAAGGATAAATAAAGGGTGAGGTGGAGACAAGGTCAATATTTCTGTACAATAGATCTGAAATATGTGTTGTTTCTGCAAAAAGAAAATACCCACAAAGTAGTTGGAACTCGGGGTTCTTTTGCCTTTTTACCTAACAAAGTATTTTGAGCTGGAAAGTACAGATACAGGAGTCATCATCACACAAATGGCCGTCAAGTTACAAGAATGAACAAAGGGAGACAAGAAGAGGAGATCAAATCTGTAACCCTATGGACCTGAAGAAGTTCCAAAATTTTCCTATTCCAGGAATGTCTTTTTCCAAACTCTTTTCATGGTATGTTATGCCCTCACCACCCCTCTGTACTTCTTTAAGTAATAGTTAACTGCCTGCTGAGCTAACAATTTACAAATGAGTTTGCTAGACAAACACAGAGTAAAGAAACATCAACTTATACACATTAAATGTATGTGCTTCTCTGGACATCATACCTCTTTAAAGTTGTTAAAAATGCAGCTTTTTATTCAGGGTAAAAATAACTTTGTTTGCTTTTACCTTCTCCAGTGACAGGATTTCAGTTCTCTGATAAAGTTGTCTGTTTTGGGAGAGCTGAGCCACCACCTGCATCAAAGCTTTCTCAGTACAATTCAGGCTGATCCGTGTTTGTTCCTCACCATCAGTCCTAGAAAATAAATCACATTTTAGTTGAGGATAAATATAGCCAAAATACATTTTAAATAATTCCCAGATAGGGCTGCCACTGTGACTCAGTGAGTTAAGACACTGCCTGCAACGCAGGTATCCCATATGAGCACCAGTCTGAGTCCTTGCTGCATGGCTTCCAATTCAGCTCCCTGCTAATGCGCCTGGGAAGCAGTGCAAGCTGGCCTAAGCACTTGACCTCTCAACCCATGAGGAGACCGGGATGGAATTCCTGGCTCCTGGCTCCGGCCTGGCCCAACCCTGGTCATTGCAGCCATTTGGGGAGTGAATCAGCAGATGGAAGATCTGCCTCTTCCTCTATCTCTGTAATTCTACCTTTTAAATAAAATAAACCTTTAAAAGAATTCACAGTTTACAAGCTGCTATAATAAATTAGGTTTAAGACATTAAGGATTTACCAACAGAATCCATCTAATCCCAAACTAATCTCTTTTCTAGAATTGTGTTTCTCAAACCATACATTACATCAGAACCACCCAAAAAATTTATTAAAACAGAGTGCTGATTCACATTCTCCAAAGCTTCTGGTTCCACAGGTCCAGGTGGGGAATCTGCTTTTCTTATGAGTTCCGAGTGATGCTGATCTTGCTAATTCCTCATTTTGAATCCACTGTTCATGTTCTTAAACCCAACTGTGCACCAGAAATCTCCTGCTACCTTCTTAAATGACACTTCTGGACAGTGCCATAGATCTAGTGAAACAGACATCTATGAATAGAGTCAGAGAACACTGACATTTTTCAAAGCCCTAGACAGGGTAACTCAAACAGCACTGAATAAAAGAATCTCCTGGCAAACCCCGTTCTAATTACACAGATCTAGGATGAAGCAAAAAAGCTGCATCTTTAATAAGCATCCTATTCACAATGACAAAGGGGGGTACCTGGATCACCTTCTGAGAAAGTGATTGCTTCGGAGAGGTAATACACTAGGGACTCTCCAAAATGACTGGCATCAAGTAAGTTTTCATCACAAACTCTATAATAACAGAACTCTAGGACTCTAGGACATCTTTTAAAGGTAACTTGGAAGCACAGTTGTCACCATTAGAATCACCTGTGCATTCCAGTCTAATAGTGAAACCCAGATAGTATCTGTAACATGGAAAAACTGGAGCCAGTCTAGAAAGTCCATCAATAATAAGAATGCTTAAAGACACTACAGCACATCCACTGTAAGAAACAATAGAGGGGCTGGCTGTGGCATAGTAGGTTAAGCCTCCACTTGCAGTGCCAGCATCCCATATGGGTGTCAGTTCGAGTCTCCGCTGCTCCACTTCCAATCCGCTGGGAAAGCAGCGGAGGATGCCCCACATGGGAGACCTGGAAGAAGCTCCTGACTTTTGGCTTTAACCTGGCCCAGCCCTGTCTGTTGAGGTCATTTGGGGAATGAACTAGCAGATGGAAAATCCTCTCTCTTCATCTCTCCCTATGTCTGTGTAACTCTATCTTTCACATAAATAAAATAAATCCTTTTTTAAAAAAAGATACTCACTCCTCTGAAAATAAAGAAAAAGACAATCTGAATTGAGGGATCGAGTAAAAGGGATAAGGGGTATTTTTATGTTTGAAATTTGTCATGCTTTATCTAATTTTTCCATTAATATTTATATAGTATTTCAGTATGGTAGAAAATGTCCACAATTGAAATCTATTCAAAGTCTTGAGATTCTCTAAAGCCAATATAGGTTTCTATTTTAATAAAAAGTCATGTTTGTTTTTAAAACAACTGCTATAGGCCGGCGCCGCGGCTCACTAGGCTAATCCTCCGCCTTGGGGCGCCGGCACACCAGGTTCTAGTCCCGGTCGGGGCGCCGGATTCTGTCCCGGTTGCCCCTCTTCCAGGCCAGCTCTCTGCTGTGGCCAGGGAGTGCAGTGGAGGATGGCCCAAGTGCTTGGGCCCAGCACCCCATGGGAGACCAGGATAAGTACCTGGCTCCTGCCATCGGATCGGCGCGCTGCGCTGGTTGCAGCGTGCCGGCCGCAGCGGCCATTGGAGGGTGAACCAACGGCAAAGGAAGCCCGTTCTCTCTGTCTCTCTCTCTCACTGTCCACTCTGCCTGTCAAAAAATAAAATTAAAAAAATTAAAAAATAAAAATAAAATAAAAAAAAACAACTGCTATGTCCTAACTTTGTATAACTTGTCTTTTTGGACTCTCAAAGATACTAGAATATGTTAGCCTAAAAGAAAATCTTTCTAGATTTCAGTAACTAAATGACTATTTATTAAAAAATTATTTATTTAACATGAAAGGCAGAGAGAGAGAGAGAGAGAGAGAGAGAGGTATTTCCCATCCATCAGTTCACATCCCAATTGCCTGTAACAGCCACAGCTAGGCTGGGTCTAAGCCAGCAGCTAGGAACTCAATCTAGGTCTCCCATTTGGGTGGTACAAACCAAAGTATTTGACCCATCACCTGCTGCCTCCCTGAGTGTGCATCAGCAGGAAGCTGGAACTGGGAGCTGGACTTGAACTGAAGGGTTAAAAAGTTAAAAGCCGCTCCCGCTCCCGCTCCCCCTCCCCTCCTCTGGTGAACTTTCCTGACCTCGATAAACTTGCTCTGTATAGCCATTCTCTTTAAAGTTAGTTAGTAAATTACCCCAATGTAAACGTAACCTTAGTTTCACCTGAGTAAGATAGAAGACGTCACTGTTTATCTCTTTGCTCCTGGAACTCTGACCCCACCATGTGTCCCTTATCGCCATTCAGCTGCATTCCTAGGTATCATCAAGGCAGTTCCTGCAACCTTGTTGTGTTTGTTGTGTGGCCCTCCCTTTTGGCAATAGGAGGCTTTTTGATCCTCCCTGTATAGGCCATATGGTTCTCTGATGTCTAATCAAGCCCTTACTCGATATCCTGTACTCCCTATATTCATAAATCAACTGATTGTAAAATCACTTAACTTGTATCAATTGTTTACTCTGTACCACTGTTTGATCTATGCAATGATTGATTTTCTTTGTTTAAACGTGTATAAAAACCCCAACCCAAGACTACTCGAGGCCGCCGCCTGTACTGAGATGGGGGCCCCGACATGCCAGTCTAAAAAATAAAACCCTTCGTAATTGCATGAGAGAAGGTCTCTTGGAGCGTTTTTGGGGTGGCAAGAGCAATCCAACTCTTACAGAATCCAGACACCCCGATATGGAATTCGGACTTTCTAAGAAGCATCTCCACCAAATGCCCACCCCTAAATGACTGACCTTAAAGCAGGTACTTAAATGTGTTTTTCCTTCCATGTGCTTGGGAACACTAATCTGGGAACTAAGAAAGAAAACCTTACACTAACACAAGACAGCGCTGGCATCTACCGGCAATTTTCAGGCAAATCCCATTCTAATTACAGAGATCTGAGATGAAGCCATTCACTACATTCACACGCAAATGCATGGTATGGTCCCTTCCCACACAGTAAATGCTACTTAGCACTTTCAGTATTTGATTCCATAGTTCTGCTCCTCCAGGATGCACACACATATGAGAAGTACACTGCTTTGTACACCAACCTCAGGGAAAATGATTTGTTTCAAATCTAAGTACAAGGGTTACGGCTGTAAAGAAGAGCCCAACAAATACATACACACAAAGAGAAAAATACATTTACCTAGCAGAAAAAGAAGTGACAGAAACACCTTCAATTTCTCTCACTGCAGACACGACTTTGTCCAGATCTTGGGTATGGTTAACATTGAATTCTACTCGGTGGGTTCCCTCTGTAGGATAGCTGTGAGCTTTGGAAGGACATATGGGTCTGGATGTACAGGCTCCTAGAGAGACAAATATGTGAGAACAGGAGGTCTTACATCATTTTAGAATTAAAAAGATAAAGTATCATAAGAAAATTTCTAAGAAATAAATATCTTTTATTGGCTGGCAAAGAGACACAGAGAGCAGGGTTCCATCTTCTGGTTCACTACCTAGATGCCTACAATAGTTGGGACTGAGTGGGTCAGACTGCAGCCAGGAGTCAGGAATTCAAAACAGGTCTTACAGGAGTGGCATTGTGGTGTAGCGGGTAAAGCTGCCATTTGCGATGCCTACATCCCATATGGGCACCAGTTCGTGTCCTGGCAGCTCTACTTCTGATCCAACTCCCTGCTGGTGGCCCGGGTGGAGCAGCAGAGGATGGCCCAAATGCTTGCGTCCCTGCTATCCTCATGAGAGACCTGGAGGAAGCTCCTGGCTCTTCGTTTCAGTCTGACCTAGCACTGACTACTGGGACCATCTAGGGAGTAAACCAACAGCTGGAAGGTCTCTCTCATTCTCTCTCTCTGTAACTCTTTCTTTCTTTTTCTTTATGTACCTAAGTTTTTGTTTTTTTTTGTTTTTTTTGTTTTTTTTTTTTTTTGAAAGGCAGAGTTAGACAGTGAGAGAGAGAGACAGAGAGAAAGGTCTTCCTTCCGTTGGTTCACTCCCCAAATGGCCACCATGGCCGGCGCTGTGCCGATCCGAAGCTAGGAGCCAGGTGCTTCTTCCTGGTCTCCCAAGCGGGTGCAGGGGCCCAGGCACTTGGGCCATCCTCCACTGCCACAGCAGAGAGCTGGACTGGAAGAGGAGCAACCGGGACTAGAACCCTGCGCCCATATGGATGTCGGCGCCGCAGGGGGAGGATTAACCAAGTGAGCCATGGCGCTGGCCCCTGTAACTCTTTCAAAATAAATGGATATCCCTCATAGTATTTTTTTTTTTGTCTGTTCTACTTAATATGACTGGTTTAATTCTGTAATTATCACACAGTTATTCTTAAGTGTTGAAAATTAACTGAAATGTGATCCCTGTTAAACATAAAAGTGGGAATAAGAGAGGGAAGAGATGTATAATTTGGGGCATGCTCGGGCTGACTTGCCCCAATTGGTAGAGTTGGAAACATACTAGGGGATTCCAGTTCAATCCCATCAAGGTGGCATGTGCCAATGCCATCTCACTACTCCAAGTGATCAATTTCAGTTCACAATTGATCATAATGAAAGGACTAAGAGTCAAAGGGAGCACATAAACAAGTCTAGTATCTGCTAACACTAACCGATAGAATAAATAAAGGGGAGAGTGATCCAACATGGGAAGTGAGATACTCAGCAGACTCATAGAATGGCGGATGTCCTAAATAGCACTCTGGCCTCAGAATCAGCCCTAAAGGCACTCGGATCTGGCTGAAAAGCCCATGAGAGTATTTCAGGCATGGAAAGCCAAGACACTCTGGCAAAAAGATCTCTGTGAGTGAGATCCCAGTGGAAAGAACAGGTCTTCAAAGAGGGAGGTGCCTTTCTCTGAAGGGAGGAGAGAACCTCCACTTTGACTATGACCTTGTCTAAACAAGATAAGAGTCGGAGAACTCAAGGGGCTTCCATAGCCTTGGAAACTCATGACTGGTGCATAGGGAGATTACTGATGCCATAAACAGGAGTGTCAATTGGTAAAGTCAACAACAGGAGTCACTGTGCACTTACTCCTCATGTAGGATCTCTGTCCTTAATGTGCTGTACACTGAGGCTTAATGCTATAACGAGTACTCAAACAGTATATTTCACTTTGTGTTTCTATGGGGGTGCAAACGATTGAAATCTTTACTTAATGTACACTAAACTGATCTTCTGTTAAAAAAAAAAAAAAAAAGAAAAGAAACTATCAATTCCCAACTTGACTCTCACTGGGATTAAACATGACAATAGGTCTGATCTGATTTCATCATCATTTAAAAAAAAATCATCTATTATTTTTCACTTTATGTTTCTGTGTGGGAACAAACTGTTGAAATCCTTACTTAAGGTATACTAAGCTGATCTTCTGTATACTAAGATAATCGAAAATGAATCTTGATGTGAATGGAAGGGGAGAGGGAGTGGGAAAGGGGAGGGTGGTGGGTGGGAGGGACGGTATGGGGGGGAAAGCCATTGTAACCCATGAGACGTACTTTGGAAATTTATATTCATTAAATAAAAGATAAAAAAAAAAGGATAAATCTTAAAAAAAAAAAAAAAAAAAAAAGACAGGTCTTCTACTTGAGTGGCTGGAACTCAACTACTTGATCCATCATCTTTGCTATTCAGAGCCTGAATGAGCAGGAATCTGGAGTCAGGAGTGGGGAACTGTACCCAGGTACTATGATATGGGATGCAGGCATCTTAGCCACCAGGTTAAATGTCCACTTCTGAGAGTAGTAATTTTTTTGAATGATTCTCATACACATACATATGTTTAGACAGACAGCATCGGTCCCCATAACCTAGGGATTTGCTATGAACACACAAAATCAAATTTGTGGGGCTGGCGCTGTGGTACAGCAGGTGAAGCTGCTGCCTGCAGTGCCAGCATCCCATATGGGTACCAGTTCAAGTCCCGGCTGCTCCACTTCTGATCCAGCTCTCTGCTATGGCCCGGGAAAGTAGTGGAGGATAGCCTAAGTGCTTGGACCCATACATCCGTGTGGGAGACCTGGAAGAAGCTCCTGGTTCCTGGCTTTGGATCGGCTCAGCTCCAGCCATTGAAGACATTTGGGGAATGAACCAGTAGTTGGAAGACCTCTCTCTCTTTCTCCCTCTATGTAACTCTTTCAAATAAACAAATCTTTAAAAAAAATCAAATTTATTTTTATAATTATTTTCCAGAAAAATTCTACATTTCAGAAAAACTTGGACAATAAAGACTGACTCAGAGCTGGCAAGTTAAGCTGCTGCTTGCAACAGGGCATCAGGCATCCCACAGGAGTGAAGATTCAAATCTCTGGTCTAGCTCACTTCTGGTCTAGCTCACTGCCAATGTGCCTGGGGGAAACATGGAGGATAACCCAAGTACTCTGGCCTCTGCCACCCACGTGAGAGATGGAGTTCCTGGTTCCTGACTTTGGCCTGGCCCAGTCCCAGCCATTGTGCCCATTTAGAGTGTCAAGCAGCAAATGGAAGATCACTTTCTCTCTCCCTCTCTTGCTGTCATTCTGCCTTTTAAATAAATAAATGTTTAAATATATATATATTTTTCTCTTTGACGCATCTACTGCGAGAATGAAGACCATTCTCAGCAATCAGACGGTCGACATCCCAGAAAATGTCGACATCAGTCTGAAGGGGCGCACAGTCATTGTGAAGGGGCCCAGAGGAACCCTGCGGAGGGACTTCAATCACATCAATGTGGAACTCAGTCTCCTGGGAAAGAAAAAGAAGAGGCTCCGGGTTGACAAATGGTGGGGAAATAGAAAGGAACTGGCAACTGTTTGCACGATCTGTAGTCACGTACAGAATATGATCAAGGGGGTTACACTGGGCTTCCGTTACAAGATGAGGTCAGTGTATGCTCACTTCCCCATCAACGTGGTTATTCAAGAGAATGGGTCTCTTGTTGAAATTAGAAATTTCTTGGGTGAAAAGTACATCCAAAGGGTTCGAATGAGGCCAGGTGTTGCCTGTTCAGTGTCTCAAGCCCAGAAAGATGAATTAGTGCTTGAAGGAAATGACATTGAACTTGTTTCAAATTCAGCTGCTTTGATTCAGCAGGCAACAACAGTTAAAAATAAAGATATCAGAAAATTTTTGGATGGTATCTATGTCTCTGAAAAAGGAACAGTTCAACAGGCTGATGAATAAGACCTAAAAGTTATCCGGCTGCAGAAACAAGAACCCAGATTGTGTCTTGTGGTATTTTAATAATGCAATAAAAGATTATTGATTTGAAAAAAAAATATATATATATTTTAATAAATACATATATATATAAAAGACTGCCTTACAGATTTTTAGATGATATACAGAATTGGGTACTGCTTGGTAAATCTAACCACATAAACCATGATTCAGACTGCAAAAGTTCATAATCTAACATTAATCCAGATTATCATCACAAAAGCCATATCCCACAATGAGTGCATGAACTAGAAAGATTCATTAAAATAAAGCTAATACACACACACACACACACACACTGAACTGCCACACTGTGCAGGGCCCGAGCAAGCATCCTATCAACCCTGGGTGTCTATGTGACCAACACACCAAGTGTACCCTGGAGAGGAGCGAGCTCCCAACACAAGCATTTGTGAAGTGCCTGGGTCCAAGGCAATGCACCACGATGAGTCATCAGCTAGGTCCAGCAGTGCAGACTTCTTGCTCTCTCCTCACTCATTAAGGGTAAAAGATGTTTCATTTCTCAAAGGCAATTTAATTGCCATATTTCAGCAACATTATTTCAAAGTATATAAAAATAGAATACCCTGCTTACCCCTAAAACATTAAAACTCTACTGGAAAGACATTCTAAAATTTCAAAGTATTTGTAGAGAAAGTATCAAATATGAAAGAACAAGAGGCTTCTCACCGAGCCCTTTGGACAGCCAGTTGTTCACTCCCTGGGGTGCAGCGTCATAGGCTGTGTGAGGAGAGTAGATGGCAACTCTGTTCTCCAAAGCCCGGATCACCAGGCGCTCCTTCCAGGACTTCCAGGTTATGCGCTTCATGGGTAGGAAGATGGGTGGATGGTAGGAAAGGATGAGATCCGCCTTCTTTTGCAGAGCTTCCTCCATCACCGGCTCAGTCAAGTCATTGGTCAGGAAGAGTGTATTCACAGTATGTGGTGGGCTTGGTTCCACCAGCAACCCAACATTGTCCCAACTCTCAGCAAAAGACAGGGATGCAAAGTCATTCAAGGAGGAGATGAGCGCCTTCAGATCCATGAAGGAACGGGAAGAACTGCAGTCCAGAGAATGGACAAGCCGGACCGTCGAGGGGGCCAGGCGTGCACAAGATGACAACATACAGCAAGCAGGCAACGCTCAGTTTCTGAAGTCAAACACAGAGAAGAGTACACATGTACAGTTCAGGCCTGCACCTCCGAGGCTTCAAAGCATCTGAGTCAAAGAGCTGCTGTCATACTAACCTGGGTTCAAATACTGCCTCTGCCACTTAGCTCAGCCATTTAACCTCTTGTAGCTTTTTTGTTTGCTCATCTGAAAAACAGAGACTGGGGCCAGCGTTGCAGCACAGTGGGTTAAGCTGCCTCTTGCAAGGCCGCCATCCTCAATTCTAGTTGCTCCACTTTTGATCCAGCTGCCTGCTAATGCGCCAGGAGAAAGCAGTGAAAAATGGACCAAGTGCTTGGACCTTTGCCACCCACATGGGAGATCCAGATGGAATTCCTAGCTCCTGGCTTCAGACTGGCCCAGCCCAGGACATTGTGGCCATCTGGGGAACGAACCAGCAGATGGAAGATCTCTCTCTCTCTAACTCTGGGTTTCAAATAAACTTTGTAAAAAGTAAAATAAAAAATGGAGACTATAACCTACTTCACAGGTCATCCAGAGTGTACATTAGCTTTTTGTTACTACAGTGAAATACAAGAAATATAGCCAACTATAAATTTAATGAATAAGCATAACCCAGTGATAGCAAAAATAAATTTTTTCACAATGTCTATTGCAAAAATATTTTAATAGGATGTGGATACTCAATATATTACTTTTTACACTGTTATTTACTTTCATATTTTATTCAAATGACCACAAGATGGAAGCCAGAAGCCTAGAACTCAATCTAGGTCTCCCCCATGGGTGGCAGGGACCCAAGGACTTGACCCACCACTGCTGCCTCCCAGGGGTACATTAGCAGGGAACTGGAATCAGAAGCTGGGGCTTGAATCCAGGCATTTCAGAATAGAATGCCAGAGTCCTAAGCAGCATCCTAACCACTATGCCAAAATGCTCACCCCTGGTTAATACATTCATTCTTTATTTATTTATTTATTTGACAGGCAGAATGGACAATGAGAGAGAGAGAGACAGAGAGAAAGGTCTTCCTTTGCCGTTGGTTCACCCTCCAATGGCTGTCAAGGCCGGTGCACTGCGCTGATCCGATGGCAGGAGCCAGGTACTTCTCCTGATCTCCCATGGGGTGCAGGGCCCAAGTACCTGGGCCATCCTCCACTGCACTCCCCGGCCACAGCAGAGAGCTGGCCTGGAAGAGGGGCAACTTTGAAACCAAAACCACTTTCCAAAACCACGCAAGGTCTTGGAAGATCTAATGGTTCTGACACCACTTCCACCCTCCAATTACATATCCTGACACTAATCCACTCTCCCAACTCTTGTAAATCTGGCCAGCTCCAAAGCCGGCGTGCCACCGCGAAGGGTTTCCGTCGTTTACACGTGAAAGAGCGCTTGGAAAGAAGGCGGTGAAACACCGCCACGAGAGAACTGGCGGCTCCAAGCCCGGAGCCACAGGCAGCGAGAACAGTGGGCGGCAGCCCAGGACGCTGGTGAACTGCATGAACTGCACTGACGGAGGCCAGACCGCAGCCCTCGGCCACACCTGTGCCACCACGGGCAAAGTACCTGACTTCTGAGGTTCTGCCCTGTAAAAAGACGAATATAAAAACGCCCAGCTCGTAGTACGCAGGCGAGATTTAAACACAAGGCAGGAACAGTGCCTGTCCTAGAGCCCCTGTGTTATCGCTAGCCAATACGACCTGCAAACGACTCTGCCTTGCTTCGTCTCCAGCTCACTCCAGTGCTACTTCAAGCCTTTCCCAGGCAGTGAAGGGTCAGAAGGCACAGTGTGTAGGTCCTCGGGAACCCCGCCCCACCACTGCCCTCTGCGCTCGTTCAGCAGGGCAGTTTTGTGCCCTCTTTTTCTGCAGCACCCACGTAACAGTCATCTCCTACCCTGCCACAACTCCTCTCTTCGGGTTTAAATTGCCCACTACTCACGAGTCCGGGCACACCTCCGTAGCCACCACTTCCCGTCCCGAGCCGGCTCTCCTCGCCTTCTGTGATAGGCAGCGAGGAACAGGGCGGAAGTTGGTCCCTCCTGTTTTACAGTCGTACCCAAAACACTGCCTGAGTTTGGCGGGTAGTTCCGGGTTATGCTCCGGACTCCAGTGCAGTTAACAGAGCTGCACCTCGCCGTCAAATTTCAAATTAGCGGATAAATCACATTGTTTCCCTAGTGCTAGTCATTTTGGTTTGATATTAGAAGAAGGGAGGAAAGAGGAGGTAAGAAGGCTCTCTCTAATGGGTCCCGCGCCCGACTTCCGGTGGCCCCCAAACTCGTAATTGAGAACCGAAAGACTTGTCCAGGCTTCTGCAATTGCATCTTCGCTGTTTAACAACGGCTGTGCTGACCGAAGTGGGTAAGTGTGGGGCAACTTCATTCATTCTTTCATTTACTTTTTCAAGGGCTTGCTGAGCCCTGTATTGCACTGTTAGTTCTTGGGACACTTGGAGTGAACGTGCTGTGTGGCAAATGTGTTGTTGGAACGGCAGAATAAGTAAGGAAAGGATTTAGTATGTTTAGTATGTTAGTGATAAGTAATTTGGGAAGAGAAAACAGTACAGGTCCTGGGTTTCGAGCACTGTATTTTTAAACATTTGTTTATTTTTATTTATTTGAAAGACAGTTGCAGAGAGAGAGAGAGAATCTTCCATTCGGTGGTTCGCTCCCCCAAATGGCCGCAATGGCCGGAGCTGAGCTGATCCGAAGCCGGGAGCCAGGAGCCTTCTCCCGATCTCCTACGTGGGTGCAGAGGCCCAAGCGCTTGGGCCATCCTCTGCTGCTTCCCCACACCACAAGCTGGGAGCTGGATTGCAAGTGGAGCAGCCGGGACTCGAACCCGCGCCCACATGGGATGGCAGGCAGCAGGCAGAGCCCTAACCTACTAGCCACAGTGCTGGCTCCTGCAGCTGTTTAAATAGGGCTGTGAGGTAAGTAAGACTTGACATTTGAGGAGAGACCTAGAGGTAAGGAAATTAGCTGTAAGAAAGTGTTAGTGTTAGTGTTGCCAGCCAGTGCCTGGATTCTAAGGTGGGAATGTACCTGGCTTATTGGACTTGCAAAGAGGCTCTTAGAGAAGAGTGAGTAGAAGTAGCAGATTGCTGGGCTTCATTCCATAGGGTCTCATCACTTCTGTAACTGGATTTTTGTTACATGGGATACCACCCCAGGCTTTTTCTTATTTACAATAAAGATGAGCCTCTGTGAATGAAGACAGCAGGAAAATGACCTTAATTCTTTCTTCTTTTTGGGAATAGACTTATTCTTGAGCTTCTCTTAAGACTCGGAGAAGTTAAAAAGAACTCCCTGGAACTATCAAGAAGAAAAATGGTAAGTTTTATAGAATTTTTATAAATATCTTTCATAAGTAATTTTTAGAACTGTTAGTGACAAGGTGAAGAAGTTATACGTTATAGAAGCATGCAATGTAGAATGATAGTTTTTAAAAATGAGAATTTGAAGGGGCGGGTATTATAGCACAGCCTGTTAAGTTATTAATTGGGACACCTGCATCCAACTTTGGAGTTCCAGTTCTTGTCCTAGCTGCTCCATTTTAGACCAGCTTCCTGCTAATACACTCTGGGAGGCAACAGATGATGGCTTGAGTGCTCAGGCCCTAACTACATGTATGAGGGACCCAGATGGAGTTCTAGGCTTTGGTCTGGCCCAGCTCTGGCCTGTTGTAGGCATCTGGAGAGTAAACCAGGGAGTAGAAGATACTTCTGTTTCCCTTCCCTGCCCCATATCTATCTATCTATCTATCTATCTATCTATCTATCTATCTAATATCTCTCTCTCTCCCTTTCTCCCTTTCTCCCTCTTCCTCTTCCTCTCCCTCCCCTTTCTCTCCGCCTTTCAAGTAGATGAAAATACATATTTTAAAAATTAAAATTGAGGGCCAGTGTGTGGTGTAGAGGTAAACCTGACATCCCATCTGGTTCGTGTCCCAGCTGCTCCACCTCCTATCCAGCTCCCTGCTAATGGCCTGGGAAAAGTGGAAGATGGCCTGAGTGTTTGGGCCCTTACACCCATGTGGAGACCTAGAAGAAGCTCCTGGCTTCTGGTTTTGCCCTGGCCCACCCCTGGCCATTGTGGCCATCTGGGAAGTGAACCAATGGGTGGGAGATATCTCTCTCTCTCTGCAACTCTTTCAAATAAATAAATAAATATTTAAAAACATAAAATTAAAAAAGTAAAAACTAAAACTTATGTCAGGTTGCTTGGCACAGTATTGCCTGGGACACTGGCATCCCATATCCGAGGGCCTGGGATCCAGTTCCAGCTTCACTTCTCATCCAGATTCTTATTCATGGTTGCATGGGACGCAGCAGGTAATGGCTAAGTTGATTCCCTGCCATCCATATGGGAGTCTTAGACTGGATTCTGGGCTCCTTGCTTCACCTTAGCCCATTCCCAGCTTTGTAGGCCTTTGGAGAATGCACCAGAAGATGTAGAAGATGGAAGGTCTCTGTTTCCATGCCTTTCAAATATATAAAAATTAATTAATTAAAAAATTTTAAAAGCAGCTAAGCAGAATTACTTTAAACCAGTTTTTAGGGGATGACATGGCACAGCAGGTTAAACCACTGCCTGCAATACCAGCATCCACATGGGTGCTAATTTGAGTCCCGGCTGCTCCAATTCCAGTTCAACTCCCTGCTAATGCACTTGGGAAAGCAGAGGTAGATGGCCCAAGTGTTTGGGCCTCTCACCCACGTGGGAGACCCAGATGAAGCTCCTGGCTCCTGGCTTCAGTCTGGCCATCTGGGGAGTGAACCAGCGGATAGAGGACCTTTCTCTCTGCTCTTCCTTTCCCTCTCTGTAACTCTATGTTTCAAATAAATAAATAAAAACATTGACACATTTTATGTTTGTTGTCTTTAGTAAAAGCAGGAATTTTTTAAAAGTTTCTTTGAAAGACACAGTTACAGGCTGGCGCCGCGGCTCACTAGGCTAATCCTCCACCTAGCTGTGCCGTTACACCGGGTTCTAGTCCCGGTCGGGGCGCCGGATTCTGTCCCAGTTGCCTCTCTTCCAGGCCAGCTCTCTGCTGTGGCCTGGGAAGGCAGCGGAGGATGGCCCAAGTGCTTGGGCCCTGCACCCGCATGGGAGACCAGGAGAAGCACCTGGCTCCTGCTTTCGGATCAGTGTGGTACGCCAGCCGCAGCACGCCGGCTGTGGTGGCCATTGGAGGGTGAACCAATGGCAAAAGGAAGACCTATCTCTCTGTCTCTCTCTCTCAATGTCTATAACTCTACCTGTCAAAAAAAAAAAAAAAAAAAAAAAAAAAAGACACAGTTACAGAGAGAGAAAATGAGAGAAAGAGAGATCTTCCATCCACTGATTGACTTCTCAAATGGCTGCAACAGCTGGGCCAGGCCGTAGCCAGAAGCTAAGAACTTCATCTGGGTCTCCCAGTTGGCTGCAGGACCCAAAATCCTTGGGCCATCTTCCACTGCTTTCCCAGGCACATTAGCAGGGAACTGAATCAGTGGAACAGCCAGGACTCAAACTGGTGCCCATATGGGATACCAGCATCATAGGTTGTGGGTTAACTCACTGCACACAACACCAGTCACAAGGAATTGTTTTTTAGCTCCATTTCTTGGAATTAAATTCTGTAAAGGAGATGGTAAAAACTATGTTGAAAAGTCATTTTTTATTATTTTCAATTGATATTAATTGATATTGAATTGCCATATAAATCAATAATAAAATATAATTATTTTTATTGATAAAAAATTAAAATTTATAGCAATTATTTCCATCACAATTTATCATTTGGATAAATGCTTTTGAAATAAATTTGTGGGCCAGCACCGCGGCTCACTAGGCTAATCCTCCGCCTAGCGGCGCCGGCACACCGGGTTCTAGTCCCGGTTGGGGCGCCGGATTCTGTCCCGGTTGCCCCTCTTCCAGGCCAGCTCTCTGCTGTGGCCAGGGAGTGCAGTGGAGGATGGCCCAGGTGCTTGGGCCCTGCACCCCATGGGAGAACAGGAAAAGCACCTGGCTCCTGGCTCCTGCCATCGGATCAGCGCGGTGCGCCGGCCGCAGCGCACCGGCCGCGGCGGCCATTGGAGGGTGAACCAACAGCAAAAGGAAGACCTTTCTCTGTCTCTTTTTCTTTCTCACTATCCATTCTGCCTGTCAAAAAAAAAAAAAAAAAAAAAAAGAAATTTGTGGACCGGCATTGTGGCATAGCAGATAAAGTTGCCACCTGTGACACTAGCATCCCATATAGGCAGCAGTTCAAGTCTTGGTTGCTCCACTACCCAATTCAGCTCCCTGCTAATGACCTGGGAAAGCAGTGGAAGATGGCCCAAACACTGGACCCCTGCCACCCATGTGGGAGACCTGGAAGAAGCTCCTGGGTTAAACCTTCTGCCTGGTCCTGCACTGGCTGTTGTGGCCATCTGGGGAATAAACCAGTGGGTACAAGATATCTCTCTTCTCTCTCTCTCCCTAACTGTCTCTTTCTCTCTCTCTCTCTCTCCCCCTCTCCCTCTCTCTCTCCCCTCTCCCCACTCCCTCTCCTCGTTTTTCTCTGTCTTTCTGTAACTCTTTCAAATAAATAAATAAATCTTTAAAAAAATTGGAGGAAGAAGTACATCTTATCTTTTAGCTCTGTTATGTAGATGGATCATATCTAAAGCAGTATTTTTTTATATTTTTATTGTCATCTTGAATATCCATCCTGTGCAGTAATGTAGTACATCAAATCATTTGAAGAGCTTATTTGTCTCACACCTCTCTCCTTCCTAGTCTGTGACATTACATACAGATGTAGGTGATATTAAAATAGAAGTGTTCTGTGAGAGGACTCCCAAAACGTGTGAGGTGAGTAACATCATTTGCATATTAAACTCAATGAATGCTGCAGGATGACCTTTTTTAGGTTGAACCACCTCAAAAGCTTTCTGTAAAACTATTGTCAGGAAAACTAGTCATTGTAACTTCTGGTCTAATTTCCACTTATCTTTCCTCATTTCAGAAGTAGGTCATCAAAGAGAAGAGTGTCAAGTATCATTTTCTGTTGGTTCGTTTTCCTTAGGAAACATAATCATTAAGATATTAGATAAGAGAATGGTTCTGTACATTATTTCACCTGTATAAATGACAAGGGTAGAAAGAAGATTCCTCTAAATATAGTCTTTCATTAAGAATTATTTGTGAAAGGCTGTTGTGCCAGGTCTAGGTGTATGAGTGTACTTTAAAAGGTTTGTGGAAATGGAATGAAAAGATAAGTTTATTTTGCTGTAAAAGTTTTAAAATCCATGCGTAGCTTTTTTTCAGTTTTTCATAATATATATTTTCCCTACATGTTTTGAAGACCCCCACATATGCATGAGTACAATGATGAATAAGAGACACTCTTGCCCTCATTGAACTACTATTCTACTTGGGAAAATGGACAGGGTGGCAAAATGAAGTCTAAACGGTGATAATGCCTTAAAGAAAAGAAGGTGGTAAAACAGAGAATAATGGGAGAGGAACTGCAGGTTGAGCAGCCCTTATCTGAAATGCCTAGTACCAGAAGAGTTTCAGATTTCAGAGATTTTCAAACTTTGGAACGTTTGCATAGACTTTTGGGAAACTTGTGAGCATTTCAGATTTTGAATTTTTGGATTAGGTGTGCTCATCCTGTATCTAAAAGAAGAAAACAAGGGCAGGCCTAGTTGAGAAAGTAATACTTAAAGTGAGTACAGAACGTATCAAGACATCTCCGTAGAAAGATATAAAAGGAATGTTCCTGGTATAGAAACAGCAGGTACGATGGTCCCCAGGGCGGAATGGATAATGGTGGCAGTATTGATGGGGTTAATGGGGCAGGCAGTAGGCAGGTGTTGTAATCACAGAGCATATAGAGGTAAGGGTTTGTGAGACCCTGCTGAAGATTTTGTGTTTTATTGCAAGAGCAGAACAAAGCCATTGACGTGTTTTAGGCAGCGAAGTGACATGATTTAAAGTAGTATCTGCAAGATACACTGCTCTGGTGTTCTCAATAAACGATTGGTTCTTTATCTTAAATGTGTTTCTGCTGCACCATTTCTTGGTCATCTTTTTTACTCTCTTCAGAATTTCTTGGCTCTTTGTGCCAGTAATTACTACAATGGCTGTATATTTCACAGAAACATCAAGGGTTTCATGGTTCAAACAGGAGATCCAACAGGTAAGTTTTTCCATGAATTAAGATCTAAGGAATTGGCTATAGAAAAATAAAAGCAAATGAAGTTTTTATAACTGTGCTATCTTACAACAGCAAGAAACTTAAAAAATTTTTTTAATATATTTATATGAAAGGCAGAGAGATGAAGAAAATCAGAGAGAGAGAGAGAAACAGAGACACAAATAGAGAGAGATTGATCTTCTATCCACTGGTTCACTCCCTAAATGTCCATAATAGCCAGGCATGCAACAGGACAAAGCCAGGAGCTGGTAACTCAACCTGGATCACATTCATGGGTGACAGGGACCCAAGTACTTGAGCCATCACCTGCTGCCTCCCAGGGTGCACATTAGCAGGAAGCTAGAGGGGAAGAAGAACGGGGACTTGAATCTAGGGACTCCAACATATGATAAAGCTGTTCCAAGCATTGTCTTAACTGCTGCACTGAACCCCTGCCTCAGACCAAGAATTTTTGTTTGTTTGTTAATGATTTATTTATTTATATGAAAATCAGAGTTACACAAAAAGAGGAGAGGCAGAGAGAGAGAGAGAGAGAG